GCCTTCACCCCCGGTCGTAGTCACTGCAGTGTTGTCTTGTTTCATAAAGCGTGCGGGAATGACAAGAGCAAACAATGTGGGACTAATGGATTAGAATTTGCTGCTCTTTAAGGCCTTCCCATACTCCGTAGTGAATAAAAATTAGAGCTACAACATAATCTAAGAAGGGAAGCCACGTCAAATGAGAGAATGGGGATGGATAGGAGGAACACGATCCTTCTCTGCTGCTCTAATCCACCACCAAATGCCACCATGATTTGGATCCTCAATCAACTTCCCCATGACCATGGCATTGCATAAAGAGGAGTGCACCCTAGCAAATCTAGGATCGATGATTTTGCGAGCTCAGGAGGATTCAGATTACAGTTTACCAACACATAAACTCATCTGGATGATTAAACTTATGACTAGAATTGATAAGGTATATTTTGGACCTCGATCACGTCATCAATGAACGTGGGCTCTCGAGACACACATCAGACACCACGTCACAGCACCAGGTGTTAATCTGGCAAGTCCCGTCCCGAAAAGCTCGGGACTGTGCTGTTCCGCACATACCGCACGATGACCGCACGAAGGTACGAACTCGCCATTCGGAGGAGAAGTCGGCCGATACGCCAAATCCGCATACGATCGATCCTTGGACAACAACATAAAAGCCCTCGGTCGACATCTGGCTAAAGGGTCATCGGGATGATTAAACTTACGACTAGAATTAAGAAGGAAATAACATCGAATTTAAAACTATATACTCCGGTGCTTCGGTGGGTCATCGGGAGCCAACTTCTCCGGCAGCCTAAGGCAAAAGAAGAGGATCAACAGATTGGAGTAGACAAATGACACGAAGAACAGTAGAGTCATGGCGAGATTGGTATACGGAGTTGAGTGAGTTGCAAGTGAGAAACAGAAATGCGACTCGATTGAAATAAGGCATAGCGCTTCGAGGATCCATAACCATTGATTTAATTAGAGGAAATCATTGCATTATTCTCCAAAATTAACTAAAATTATTAGGTGAAATTAAGAAATTAAAATAATAATAAAATCAAATCTATTAATTTATTGAATTTAAACCAATGATCTAAAACGCTTAAGAAGAGTAGTACGCCTATCCGTCTTTTATAAATCAATCCGAATCTTACGCTCTAATTCATGCATAAAAGTATCAATAGAACACTTAGACATCACCCCAAAACAATTCTTTCATTATAGAATACTTATTACATGTTATACAAAAAGAGAAAATGTGCCGTAAACTAAGAGATCTTTGAAACATTGCGCATGACAACTCGAGAAGGAAAAGAAAAGATTTATTCACAAGAATAGAAACTACAAATTGATGTGTCGGCAAATTTTTGTTTGCAGGTGCATTCGATCAAGAACTCCACGTTATGGCACTTTCGACACTCCCTGCCTCTGCAGTTCCACCAACACACCGTCCAGTGAAGGGGGCTTCAATCCAAGAGGCAATGGCAACCATGGTTTCCCTAGAACATCTCCAATAGCTGCATCTATGCTTTCTTTTGACTGAACCCAAAACACACAATGTTAGAGATACTAAGACATTAAGAAAAAAAAAATGAATTCTATTTTCTTAAACGAAATTTATAGCGTTATTATACTTAAGAATATAGCTGAGAAATAAAATTAAAAAAAGGGGCTAAAACTTACTTTTAAATGACATCATCTAAGCATATTTTTGCTGAGAGTCCACACACTAAGCATGTTTTTTGAGTTGGACGTGGAATCTAGATGAGTGTTTAAGAGAGATGGATGGAGAAGAACTTACAGGGGAAGCATCAAGCTGAAGCTGCGAGCTCGGGTGCTTGGTCATGGCAGGAGCAACTGCTCTGTACATCGGACGTGGAACGACGCCCGGGACTGGTGGAGCCGCGAATCTCTGCAGCATTAGTTTTGGCGTCAGCGCATCAACCACTCCGAACAGGTTTATCGAGCTGAAGCAATACGTGACTTACCACCATCGGCAATGGCTGGGGGAAGCAAGGAGCTCCTTTGGCCATGGTATGCGGAACCCATCCTTCTCCGCTTCCCTGCATGGAGAGAGACGATCGAATCATGTTGATTTGGAGTCGCCGGACAACGAGAAATAGATAAAGACGAACAGATGGGTGCCCCGTACGCTTTGGTAGAGGTGGTGCCAATAAGAAGGATCAGGTGGTGGTGGGAGAGGTGGCTGAGGAGGAGCCCACGGCTGCGTGGGAGACCGTGCCGAGAGATGCCGTGGCCACATGTGGAGCACCGGTGCTTCCGGCGTGGGGTGCCCCCATACGTGGAGTGGTCTAAAAGGCTGCACTGGTGGTGGTGGCGGTGGTGGTGGAGGAGGAAGGAAGCCGATGGTGGAGGCGAGCCACGGGTTCACGTCGACCCTCTTCACCCCCATGCCCGTCGCGTACATCTGTCGTCTCTGGCTCCAGCTCGCCGCCTCCGCCTCCCTCGCAAGCACATGCTTCCGATGCGAACGATACTTCTGCAAGCATTTCATGTCTCCTTGTAATATGCACCAAAACAAACATGTTCTCCAATGACTGCACACCAAAATCTAAGTCGATTTCTCGAGCAACTAATAATTGCAAGATAGATATATGCATGAGTAGATGGCTAGCAACAGTCAAGCACTCGTCATGCAAGCTAAGGGGAGTACTGTTTCCGTGTCTCGGAAAAAGCAGGAAGTACTTGTCATGGCTGCATCATGAACTCCCTGTACTTAAAAAGGCCAAGCAATTACTTCCGTGGTAGGGAAGGACACGAATCTTAAAGGAGAACGATACGATTGGAGTAGGGAAAAAGAAGCAGAACCTGCAGATGGCTAGCAACATTGTGACGAGTGAGGCAGTCGATCCCCATCAGCTCCAGAATCCTCGACGGCACCGCCTTGTCGATCCCCAGCTGCTCCACCGCCTGCACGAATCTCCGGTGTAGATCCGGCGTCCAGTCCACCTGCCATTCACACGTCCGTCAGGAACGTGAAGAGAAGAGGCAGCTAAGTCCATTGCCACTTTCTCTGCAGCAACAGCACAAACAAAGTACGTCTAAAGGATAAGAAGGTCCGACATCTCACGGGAGCCCGTGATTCCTTTCCCTTCTCTAACGAGATCCGATTTCAAGCTTCGTTGTCCTTGCGTTTAATTGGGCCGTCACCTTTTCACTGTCTTTTTCTCGCCGTCTGCTTGGACGCAAGAAGCAAGAAACCTATGAAGACTTTTCCTCATATCTACTGGAACATGTCATTGTAATCACTATTCACCGAGTCCAAATCCCATTATCTTCTTTTCATTTCAATTTCTACCACAAATCTTCCGGTGGATCAGATGCACCCGTGGCTCTCGTGATGCCTTTCCGGGAAAACCTAGGTGAACTTTCAGAGAGAAAGGGAGAGGGAGAGAGAAAGAGAGAAACGCTTACTTTTGCTTTGCGCTTTCCCTGTGAGCCCTTCGCCGCAGCCGCCGCCGCAACTGACGACTTCTGACCGTTATCCGGTGTCGATGACCTCGCTTCAGACGGCATCGACGCTGCATCCTCTGCTGTCGTCTCACTCGTGGCTTCCTCGCCATGACTCAAATATTTCTCACCGTCCAAGACCACCGTATCCTGCGTCACTCCGCCAAGCATCCCGTCCGTCGCCTCCGCCACCGCCGGTGAGCCCGAGTCCTCCTCCCATCCCACCGAGAACTCCGCAAAAGTCTCCGCCGGGTCCAGCTCAAGGCCCGGCAGCATGTCTCCGTCATCGATTCCCGCGAAGAGGTCGCTGAAGTTGATGTCCTCGAGCAGAGTTTCGCCGGTGAAGTCACCGTTAATACAGAAATTGTCCGACGACCCATCTCGTTCTTCACCATTGGAACCTCTCAAGGCTTCGACCGCAAGCATGTCAATAGATTCGATACGTGCGCACGGAAATGAACGCGCGAGCTACGTAGGCTACTCAGGCAGGTGTTTGCGCACCATGAACCGGAAGTAACGAGCTTGGCCGGAGACTCCGCAGAGAGAGGGGTGGAGAAGGAACGAAGAGAGCAGAGGCTTTGTGGGGAGTCTCAATAATAAGAGTGGATTGGCTTGACATGGGAAGTTGGAGTATTATACTCGAGAGAGGTCGCATGTCCACCACAATTTCCTTGAGATTTCTATTCAGGAGCTTTTGTTCGCACTCGTCAGTCCTTTTCTCTCTGTAAACGAATTGAATGTCTTGTGGATGAGCAATTTCGAGGTCTTCCATATATCAAATT